GGGGAAAAAAATTACAAGGAGGAAAAAGGGATCAGACTACGAGATACCTGGTAATTAGTGGATTTTTACTTTGAATTGATGCTTAGTTTCATCTCTGATATGGAATTGTAAAGTGATTAGAAGCTTATTATTTCTAAAATAAAAGTTATTATTAATTTTTAAATGTAACCTTAATAAAATGATGTAGAAGTTTTCACTTTATAAACTCCTATATACCCCTACGACCCTGCTCTTCTAAGAAGTATAAAAAGAAGTCAACTGCCCCTGGGTCCATTACACGCTCACTTGCTTAGATAATTGGCAATGGCGAAGGCCGGTGGTGCTGGTGGAAGCAGAGGGTACACAGTCCTCCTCCTCTGTCGGCGCTTTAATCACCAGAATTCGAAATTTGCAACGCGATAAATCAAACAGAAATAGTTCCCGGGCTTCACTTTCCTTAGACCAATAGCCCCCATCGGGGCATATCGCATTACAGAGCTCAGCAGTGCTGATAATTCTCAATAATTAAAATCATTTAAGTTTAGGAAATCCTTTTAGCTGACTTAACGGGCTCAGGGCCCAAATTGAGTTTCGCTCGTTGTTAATAAATCATAAATTGCCCTGCCAGGCGATGGCTTGCTGCTTGTCTGCTTCCCCAGCTGATTGCAAAAGTTAAATGAACTTAAAGTTTCTCCTTTTTTCGTGTTCTTTGTGTTTTAAGCGGCTTAGTGGGCGGTTCGACTTGCTCGAAACTTGCTTTCGGCTTTGCATATTGATGCGGCATTAGGTGGCAGAAATTGTGGCCCTGTTGTAGCAACAAGTTCTGCGAATATAACTATGGAACGCTGCGGCAAGACGATAAACTGTATCGCGCATACGCACTGTGTGACGCCTTGGGGCAGGCTGCACATTGACATTCAGGCGGCGTACGCCGCAGAGACAGACACAGATATAAATACTGGCGCGGATAAAGAAATAGATAGAGATGCTGCTGGGGAAGGGGATTGGGATTGGGATGGGGATAATCATGGAGCTCTATGGATTGCGTGGGTGGCGGAATGGGGCTTTTATGCCAGCCATAAAATTGCCGCCTGCATTTCGGTTTCGTTTTGTTTGGCCATTAGCTTTGTTTTGTTTTATTGCGGCTTCTGGGCCACTGTGTCTACTCGGTGACTACTCCTCGCCATTGTTGTTGCACTAAATCAAAGTGTCGTTTGTTTTGCGGCATGCAAAGGCCATCCGGCAAATCAAACACGAAACCCCCAAGGAGGGGGTAGAGTTTATTGGCGCTCGGACTTGGTTTCGGCTCCAGATTCTGATTCCGATTCGGTTACGTATAGGAATTGGTGCCCGTATTTTTATGGCCTCATTTTGGCTTTTGCATAACAATTAGCCAGCCAGATTCAATTCTCACAGTGCCTCACCACAGTAGCTATCTTTTTTCCACTAGCTTAACGTGCGGAAATTGGAAAAGGAAAATAATCAAAGCCTAACAAGAGACAGATAAAACAAAACAGGGACCAAATGAGAAGGATAAACCATGTTTCCGTTGGAACGAATTACAACTTCCCTAACTGCAAGCTGTGGCAAGAGAGTAGGCTCTAAAAATTATTTGAAAATCAGGAATATACTACATTTTTTTTATAAAAGATTTAGCAATTTCTGTGGCACCCCTGCGTTTCTAAAATATTTTAAAAATCACCAAGAATATATCTGTTTCAATTTGTGGATTCATGAAATCTTTTCTGTCAATTTTCATAGATATTATACTTTATTGACAATCAAATCGTGTTAGTTTTGGAAGCACAAGCTCTCGATGTCTATGCAGCAGAAAGAACGAATAAAAAATGCCAAGCTAAAGCTATCCATCCAACTGCTATTCATGGGGATTCCCCCGCTGCCAAGTGCTGTTAGACAGTGGAACTACCTTATCGGAGGATATTTCCCAGCGAGTGGAATACAAATATCAAATAAACGACAGCGCACTGAACCGCGAGAGCTGCAAAATGTGCAAAAATACACAAAGAAAATTGCAATAACAATTTGGTGCAGACAAAAGCAGGGATACAAAAAAATAACCAAAAATAAAATAGAATTATTTAACGAAAAACAGTTGAATTTTTGGAGCTCTTTTTTTGTTGTTGCCACCTCCCCAAGTGCACGGCATTTGCATAGAAAAATTCAAATTAAGCGAAAATGTGCGAAATGCTGTGAATGGTTCTCTGTCCTTTCCCGGCTTCGGCTCTGTCCCTCATCCTTCCTCCTCCATTTTCGTCCTATTTGGGCAGGCGAATGCAACAAATGAATGGTCAAATAAAAGCTGGACAAAGAAATGGCAAGCTGGAAATGAGCTGCCAAAGCAGAGCAGTTGACAGAGGGCCCCCAGAGGGAGGAAGGAGCGCCATCGAGTGCTTAAAGTGTGCGTCTAATGACAAAGCAAATTGTGTGTATTTGCCAGCACAACAAACAGAAGAGTCAGCAGCAGCCAGAGCAAAAACAATCCAACTGGCTTTGCTGGAATTGGAAAAGTTTTAAAGTTTCTGCAATTTCCCTGCTGAAATTTCAATTGAATTAATCATGGAATAAGCCTCTTGGCAATCCGACCACAAGTGCAAGCAGTGCAGTTGTTCAGCCCACTTTTTGCTGTCTCTCTCTCTCTTTGTCTCTATCCTTGCTTATCCTGCCATCTCTTTCGACCACTCAGTAGTCTGCAACAATAACAATCAACATCGCTTGAGTCGCTGCACGGCTAATTGTTGTTGCTGTTTGGGCTGCTTAATTAAGAAGTCGACGACAGCATTCGCTCGATTGCCTTCTCTAAGGACACTATAAAAAAAAACGTATATTATTCCAAATATAATTGTTTTAATACCTAAAAAATTAAAATTAGGGAGCTCTGAATAATTTAGTATATCTTGAAGAGTAATTTTCAAATTATATTTACATTTTTTCCTAAGAAGTGCCTTGTTTTAATGTAATTTATTTTTATTTTCAAACTATTTTGTAGTATTAGTATTTAATTATTGATTTGATTTATTGTTTTGCCAGTGCACTTGCAATCTACAAACGACTTTCTCTCTTATTTTCCTCTTAAATCGCCCGGCCTCTCCTTGTTTTTATTTGCATAGGCCAGCTTCGCATTCACTTCCGCATCCGCATCCCCGGTGCAAGTGTCCAATGGAAGCCATTTCAACGTCAGCGGATATGTCAACGTCTTTCCCAAGCCCTCAACTCGAATGACGAATGAAAAGTGCCACTTCAATACAGGGATCAAAGTTATTGTAATTGCTTCCATTCTTGACTTCAATGCCGTCGTCCATTGCAGCACTTTGTTTTTGACTTTATCCTTTTTTGAAGGACCTTCCACTGGGCAATCGCATTAACGCATCAGTCCTTTATTTTGACAGATATTTACATAATATTTAAAGCCACTCCAATTGCATCTGGACCACAGTGCGACGAAAAAAAATTATGAGAACCCTACACTCAAAATAATTAGGTTCAAACAAGCTAGGTATATAACTAATTAAAATTTATATAAAACTAAAAGAATGATTATTCATCTTTATTTTACAAACCTTTTAATCAATGGCTTTTATAATCAGGCTTTACTATTTTTTCCCAAATCATAGAGCCATTTTTCCGCAGCGTATCAAAGATGGAATAGGAGCTGGCTAACGATTTTATAATTTTTTTCCTATTTCACAATTTTTTCCTCTCGTAGACTGACTTACTTCACATGCCAGCACAATTGCCTTTGTCCGCCTTCACTGCTGTCATCTGGCTTTTTTCACATTTCCCTGCCAGCCTGGCAGCCTGCCTCCTAGTGGTCTTTTTGCTCTCCTCCGATTCCTTTTGCATTATGCCCGTGCACTTCGTGGTCCTGCGGCCTGCATTGTTCGAATGTAAATTCGGCTGCCTTGAGTCCGCTCAGAGTTTACGGTTCGAAGGACTAAATGTCAACAGTTTTCATAAATCTGCCACTGCTGGTGGACATCATCAGCTCGGCTCCGTCCTCGTCCCGACTCCAGAGTGACTGGTCTGCTCGACTCGTCTCGAAGTTATCTTAAGTGCTCCGAGTGGAAACTGTCAGTGCTTCTGTTTGTTCGCTGTTTGTTTGCTGCCTGCTGACTCTTGGTCAACTGCTTTTGACAAGCTCTTTAAGATAAATCAGTTTTTCGATTGGATTTACGAATTGCAATGTCGCTGTGATGGGGGTAATTAACCCATATGGAATATAAATAATTAATTAACGCATTTAAATACTACAAATACTACAATTATCAAGTTATTTATTACCAATTAATCTTATGTCTTGGATTATTTCGACTCAACTGTCGCTTTAAAAAATTTAATAAAATTCTCAGGGATTTCACTAGACCTGTCTAACCCTAATTTAATTTTCTTTTGGCCCCTTAAATGTAAATTTTACTCTAGAGATAAGTTTTGTAAATATTTTTCTCTTGATTCGGCGTACCTTGTCTCACATAAGAACACTTTAATCAGGGCTTGTCTTCCCATTCTATGGAATTTCTAGGCAATTACTTTCCATTAGCTGGCCATTGTAATGCTAAGCACAACTTTCAACTTTCGCTGCTTTTGGCCAAGCATCCGAAACACACAGAAATTGGCCAAGGCTCGGTCGAGGTGGCAACACAATAATATTTTATGGCACGGCATTAACATGGCCATTGGCAGGGCCGAAACTAAAGCATTGTTTGTCAGCAAATGCCAAAAGTGCCGTTGCTCGGTATCGATTCGGGGAAACCAGTTCCCGGGGACGGACAGTGGAGCACCGTCACCTCGACGAGATTCCAATGTCCGTAGCATGTTCGATCTTAATCGATGAGAGCTTCGGGGGTCCACTGTGTTTTCACATTCCCAGAACATTGGCGAACATGAATCGTCAATGCAAATTAGTTGCGGACTGACCCAAATTGGATGGCCATAAAATTGGTCGAGTGGTCAAAAATCGGTTTAGTCGTAGCCAGAGCCAACGCCTAAAATATGTATTAGCCGCCATGAGACTGTCACTGCTGCTGTTGCTAGTCCATTCTTGGGCCCTTGTGGCCACAGGTGAGTCTGCACTGTCGTTCAAGCGAAAGTACAGTGAGTGCTCACTTTCAACTATCCACAGCCACGCCCGCCAAGCACTGGCGCCGAGCCCCCGCCCATGGGGTCTTCAACGTGGATATCTATGCCTATAACAAGCCCCGGATGAACCTGGCCCGGCGCCAGGTTCAGCTGCAGGATCCCCCGCCGATGGGACACCTGCTGCAGCAGATCGCCCAGCACAGTCGCCGATCCCCCGAGCAGAGGTCCCACTACCGAAACCTGGACGAGAACGTGGACATGGTCATGCCAGTGGCACAGCCAGAGAAGAAAACAATTGTGGACCAGGCTATAAACATGCAATTAATGCCGCTGCAAATGAACTCGGGCCCGCACGCACGAGAGAATTTATACTCGAACGAGTTCCATGTGCAAAATATAGGGGTCAAGAAGATAGTGCAATTGAATACCCTGACTATTGGTCATGAACATAAACCAGTCGGCGAAGAAGTTATGGCCCAGAGCCAGCAGGAGCAGGAGCAGCAGCCCCTGAAGGTAAAGCTGACACTGCCAGAGCTGGGCGAGAACAATGCAGGAGAAACAGAAATCGTGCCACAAGGGGATGAAATTGTAAAAAAAGATATCTCTGACTTGGCCTCGGCCTCTGCCTCTGATCCTGCTCCTGTTCCTGCCACTAAAGCCCCCGTGATAGTGCCTGCAGGGGAATCCCTGACTAGTGTGAATAAAACCATGGCCTCGAGTGGGACAATTATCGATATGGCATCGACAGGAATGCAACAGCTTGTCAGCCAGCCGACAGCGGAGAATGCCGGTGACACGAGCACAAAGGCTGAGTCCGGCAAGAAAAAGAAGGACGAAACCAGAGCGCGCCTCCCTCGTCCGAAGACCAGGCGCAAGCCAGTGCAAACTTCCAATGAAACTGATACAAAGATGACAGCGAGCCAGGCTGTCACAACGCCAGTTCCTATTCCAGCTCCTGCTGCTAACCCCATCCTGGCACCAAGTCCAGGTCCATCGAATGTCAAGCAGCCGGCGAAGGAATTGGAAACACAATCACCGGAAATCAGCACGCATCGTCCCTTAACAACGAAGCGAAGCAGGACCAAGACGAAGAGCAAGGGTAAGGGAAAGGATAAGCGTCGTCAGGGCTCCCAGAGACGTCCTGCCAGCGCTGGAGTAATGGAGGAGGAAATTGAAACTACGACAAATTGGTGGCAGATTCTCCCGTATGCGGAAATTAGAAAATTTTTGAATACGATTTATGACACCATCGCCGACGATGTTGACGACGACCGTGCCACGGATGATGTGTGAAGCCAACGACATAGTAGGGACTGGGTAGGGGTTAGGGTTTACCAAGGGTCCGGCCAGGCGTCGAATTGAATTTCCGCCAGGACCCGACTTTGTGTACTGATCAAATAGCTAGTAAGTCGGGGATGTGATTCGATTGGATCCGATTGGTGTCTTATGGTCACAGTAATTTGCAATAAAACGGAACATTTAGATTGATTAAAATGCTATACTATGTCTGACTTTATTCTTGACTAAAAATTTACCCAAAAATATAGCTTTAGCTCCCCGCCCAAATAAATCATAATAGTACAGTCATCAACGTCTCATTTCGATGCGGGATGCTGTGACAACAAAGATGACTTAATTAAATGCCCCCCGATCAGAAACAATAACGCGGCTGGGCACTTAAAAAGCCATCTATTAATATTTGAATAAACAAATAGAGAATGCGAGAATCCCCTCGGCTTGTGCTTCACGCCAAATAAAACTCTTATAGACAGCTTAATGGGCATTAGGCCCGGGCCCAGACCCCTGGCGTAGCAGGTTAAAGTTGAAAGTGGTTGGACGGCTTCCATCCTCGGCCAAAGGGGTCACCGCAGGTAAAGCGTGAATCCAGCCGACATTAATGAGCTGAGAATTTTGTTTATGGCTGCGGAACAAGACAAGCTGTGAGTCAGCCGGAATAAATCTCTGGCAGCTGATGGATAGGTCTTAATGGGGGATAATAATATAAATGATTAAAGTGTATGTTCCTTTCGGTTATTTATTGAGCCTCTTATGGCAGCACCAGCCATATAAATCTGTGTTTACTCGAGTAGTTAAAAGGGGTTCGGCGCGATAGCTTTCTTCTGTGTCGCACTTTCCTTTTCGGCTTGGGTTCCACCTCGGCCACAATGAATAGCTGCGGCCCAGCTTCTGGAGGCGTCAATTCGAAGGTTTCTCGAACAGGAGCGGCGGTGGCTTGTACGACCGGCGCAAGTGGAGCACTGAAGGAATGACCCTCGTATAGATGAAGCTGCCAGTCGCACAGATTCGGGGTCAGGCTGCACTTGATGGTGGAGTTTTCTGCGATCAGCTTAGCCTGGGTCAGGTTCAGCCTCTTTAGGTCCTGCAGGACATCATCATGGATCACTGGGCCAGCTGTGCACCACCGGACTGCGAGACAGATCGTGAAAAGCACTTGCCACGGAGAAGCTTTGAAGGCTTGGACGGAGCTCATTTCAACTTCACCTACCACCTCCTCATGGAGCTGAACTTGGACTGGTCGCTGGGCCAGATGAGACGGTGGAGTGGGGCAAGTGAAACCAGTTTTCTTGAATAGATCCGATCTATTGTCATGCCAAACGAATTGCGGCTGACACATTCCAATGCTCCCTAATGCTGGGGTATCTTGGACTTCAGATAAGGTGTTCATAATCTTTATTTCTGAAAGAGTACACTACTTGTTTCGGTTGCTCTGCTGGGTATCTTTCTTTGATTGTCTCTGCCAAGCTGGTCTTCGTGTGGGTCCCAGCCATTCTGTGCTAGAACGCCCAGACGCTCGCATCTTCTTTCCTCTCGTATCTGGTAAAATCAGCAGCAGAGACTGTCCCTGCCCGTCGACTAGGGGAACGAATGGTGGCTCCTCGGCGAAGTTGGGATCAGTACTCCACTGAAGCGGTTTGGAGTTGCCAACACTCCTTACCTCTTGACACAGGGGAAGTTGAGGAAATTGATCGCAAATCGAGGGTTCTGGTGTATTTGTTTCCTCTTGACACTGGGGGAGTTGTGGATATATATCGCAAATTGAAGGTTCCGGTGTATTTGTTTCCTCTTGACACAGGGGCAGTTGTGGATATATATCGCAAATTGAAGGTTCCGGTGTGACTTCCTCTTGACACGCCGGAAGGTTTGGATAAAGATCGCAGATATCCCCGTTTGGACCTGTGGGTTTTGTTGGTGGAGTTGGTCTTGTAGATGTCGTGGATCTTGTAGGCCTTGTAGGTCGGCTAGTTGAAGATGGGTGCCCCTTGACCAAGTCAGAGAAAATATTTCCTACATTCCACACGGGTATTCTGACTTGTATCTCGTGTCCACTGGAGAGCAAGGCGAACCAGCTGGGCACAGCTATCAAAAGCGAAAACAAAGCTTTATAGAGCAGCAACATACTCCTTGTCTTATGACAAACTAAAACCCACACTCTATTGACACCTTTATATATTCTATGCCTATTAAATGGATTCAAAATTTGCCACAATAGAATGCTCGTCAAAAAGAAGACAAAAGAAGAAAGTCCAATAAACAATGAAGATCAGCATCCTCGAACTTGTTTCCATTAGTGTCTCGAATTGCTAGAAAGTGAGATCTGATTTGATTCTATTTTAGCATTTGCGAATTTATTGATTGCAAAAACATATATACGACACGTTCTTCATATAAATTATCTAATAAATGGGTGTGTCCCAAGGCAGAGGAATATACCTTGCCAGTCGGTCTTTTCAGATAATAAATGTATGTCTTCTGAAAAAAACCATATTGTGCTTAATTTTAAAGTTAAAGTAGAGCTTTTCTTTTTTTCCAAAAAGTATGTACTTTATTTAGCAGATTTGTTCTTGAAATAAGCTTAGATCAGCAAGAAATCCTTTTTCGCAAGGCTACCCTTTGGAGTGAGTTGACTTCTTCTCTGCCGGAGATATTAGCAGCAAAGGTTTGCCATTTTCGTCCGATAAACTCACAAACTGAGCTTCCTCCGGCTTCATACAAAGTCGAGGATAATAGAAGCAGAGAGACGTTACTGGGTGCGGTTCGGTGTTAATGGAGAGCTTGTGATCAGGCTGAAGGACATTGTTCTGGGGTTTCTTGCTCTTCGTCGGGTGCACCGACTTGATAATCCGGCACTCTGGAAGAAGGGGATAAATTTGGCAGAGATCCCGCGCAGGTGTGCTCGTAGTGGTTTCATCAGAATCACTCTCGGTTGTGGTTGTCTCAGCCTCCTCTGTTGTTGTTTGGGTAGGGGCCTCCGTTGTTGTTGTGGTAGGGGCCTCTGTTGTTGTTTGGGTAGGGGCCTCCGTTGTTGTTGTGGTAGGGGCCTCCGTTGTTGTTTGGGTAGGGGCCTCCGTTGTGGTTACGGGTTTTATAGTCGTGGGTTCTGTTGTAGTTGTCTCAGGTTCTGTGGTCGTCGCAGGTGGTTCCTTTGTAGTCGTCTCTGGTGGTTTTTTGGTAGTTGGCTTCTTTGTTGGTCCTTTCGTTGGTCCTTTCGTTGGTCCTTTCGTTGGTCCTTTCGTTGGTCCTTTTGTTGGTATTGGCGGATACGTTGGTGGTGGATATGGCGGGTATGGGTAATAATAAGGTGGATACATTAGAGCCGGATCGTAGTATGCATAGGGCCAATAATCTTCATGATGAGGTCGATCCTTTTTCTTTGGAAGGTGTCCTGAGTCCTGCCCTGTCATGTAACCAGTTACTTGTTTGATTACGCCTCCCACATCCCAGAAGGGTATCTTAACTTGGACTTGATGGCCAGTGGCGAAGAAAAGGAAGCAATTGGGTCCAGCAACGGCAAGCCAGACCCAAATAATGGCAGTTCTAAGCAGTTGCATGCTCTTAGAAAAATGTTGGACTGTTCTCTGCTGGTCACTAACGCCTTTATATATTCCACGGATTGCCCATTAAAAGATGATTATCGTTTATTGAATGCAATGGAAACTAAGGGCAAAAAACTAAAAACTCAACCGTAAATCAGTCAATCTTCAAACACATCTTTAAACTGTCGTTAGTTAAATTTTTCCTTGATAAACACATCATTGATATCTTTATATGTTCAATATATTAAAAGATATATTCTAAACTGGAACAGACGTAAGTTATTGTGTACAAGCACACTCTTGGCTTGATCTTTGGCTTATTCATATAATTAATGAGCTTTTCTCCACAGGCTGATAAGCGGTAGTGATTCCAAAGTGTATTTGAGATACCTTATGACACTGAAAAATTCTTTATGTATTTAACTAGGGCTTAAAGTTATAACCAAAATTATAATTTAGCATTTTAAAAAATATTAATTACATATTTAATAGATTACCATTTAATTAAATCAGAACAAACCAAATGAACGGTTTATTAATTTTATTTTCCTATAAGAAACAAAAGCTCATAGATTAAAAATATTAGGCCATAAGAAAACTCACAACAAATAATAAAATCGAATCGTCATAATCATCGAATGTGCTAATTTATTGATTTCGACATTAGTAGTGATTATAATACTTAATTGAATGCCATTTAATTTATGGAGAGTATAACTTTAAGAGCATTCCCAAGTCCATAACATTTAATAATAGCTAAAATATTTAAAAGCCTAAAGGCTTAAATAAATTTATTCAAGTCGTTGATTTTTCCTTTTCTTAATCAATCGGTAAACGTACCGGCTTCTAGATGGCCTCTTTCGTCGGGATGGCCGCGTTCTAAAAGGCCGCTGCATAGAGTTTATTGGCCTCACAATGGGCAGAGTTGGTTCCTCCACTGCTCCAGGCCTTATGAGTAGCATAGGTTTTCCGAATCCATCTATTAGCCGCACATATTGCGCCTCCTCGGGCTTGGCACAGAGCCTTGGATAATTGTGGCATAGCGAAGTCAATGACTGAGGTGGCGACTGTACTGTTAGTTTCTGTTCAGGTCGAAGCTCGTCAGGAGCCGATCCTTCTTGACTGAGAACAGTGGGGCTCCTGATGGGAGTATATTGGAACTGGCTGGGATGCGAGTAGAAAGGATTGGCTGTTGTAGCTTGCATATTTATTTTGGGTGTACTGATTGGTAAATATTTGGAACTCGAAATTATAGTCGAGGATGATGATGATTCTGTTGGGAAAAATCCTGTTGTGGACGATCCGCCCGTTGTTGAAGATCCTCCCGTTGTAGAAGATCCTCCCGTTGTAGAAGATCCTTCAGTTGTTGAGGATCCTGATGCAGTAGAATTACTTGTTGGCTCGATTGTGGTGCTGTTTAGCGCCTCGGTCGTTGTTGGAACACTGGGAGTTGAAGTACTCGAAGACGAGGAGGATATGGGAGATGCAGTTGTAGTTGTCGTAGTTGTTCGAGTGGTTGAGGTCCTTCTAGTGGTTGTTGTTGGCCGCCTGGTTGTCGTGCTTCTTCTCGTGGGCTTTTGCGTTGGTCTGGGCCATGGTCGAGTCGGTCTTTGAGGCCTCAAGGGACGCAGAGGACGCGGGGGTCGGGGAAGGGGCACTGGCACAGGTATAGGCAAGGGCAAAGGCTCCACTGGTATCACCTCGCTGGCAGCGTACAATCCTTGCTTTTTGTTATAATATTCCTGCAGGAGGGCATTATAGTAGTCGCCCCAAGGAGCGGCGCCAGCTGAATTCGCAGCTTGAGGTGCTGGCGTGGAGCTAGCTCCTCCAAAAACAGTCGAAATTCGAGAGTAAAGCGTACCCACATCCCAGAGAGGCACGTTTAATCTTAAGGACTCCTCTAGCTGTTGGCCCCTCACCGCGATTGAAAGTAGTAACAGGAGAAACGTGCGCTTAAGTATCATTGCCGCGTATTGATTTAACCGTCTAAATGCCTAAATGAAAACTAAACCTATAGCTGTGGCCAAAATTCGTTTTTATATCTGAAACAGATAATAAAACCACTGATGATGCCCTACGGCCAGCAGCGACCCCAGAGCTTTGTAGGCAGTAGAATTGTCAAATTAACTCGCTGTTTGTTTTTTAATAGACGAAGCTCTTTCTCAGTTCCCATTAAAGAAACTTTCTAGACGGGGTCATGGCGCTTTAATGACCAAACATCCTGGTGAGTTTTTTTCCATTGCTGACTTACCGTCTCAATGTCGAGAGAGTCTTAGTAAAAAAAGGGATCCATTCAAAAACCACAAGCAATAAGTAAAAGATGTCATATTTGTTCTGTCACTTATAAGAATTTGTTATATAAAAAATATTTTGCCCATTTTTGGTTATATAAATATAAAGTTTGCTGGTTGTAAATTTTAATACCCTTGCAGGGTATTATAATGTCAGTCAGAAGTTTGCAACGCAGTGAAGGAGACCTTTCCGACCCTATAAAGTATATATATTCTTGATCAGCATCAACAGGGGAATCTTTCTAGACATGTCCGGAAGAAATCGATTTTTTGGCCATTTTTGCAAAATTTTATAAGGGGTTACATCATTAAAATTTTTGATTTTGATAAAAAATTGAATTTTCAAAATTTTTTAATGAAGTATGCAGATTTATTAACTGTAGAAAATCTTGCACAGAACAGTTTTCCGATTTAAAATTAATGCTCTTTTGGCCGAGATGATATTTTTAATTTAAAAAAAAATCAAGAAGTTTTTCAATATAAACAAGAAAGGAAGCTAACTTCGACACGCCGAAGTTTGTATACCCTTGCAGATTGCAATTGGATCACTAAGAATCGAGCCATTCTGGTTAAATAATTGAAATTATTCGAATTGAATTTCATGAATTTTTAACTGAGTTGTGAACCTTTGAAAATTAGTTTCTTGCCCATTTTTGTTTAAACAATTATTTAAAAATTACAGGTAAGTATTAAAGCAAAACTAAGTAGGCAGTTTTGTTAAGCTTAGAATAACCAACTTAGAACAACTTTCCGAAATGATTTTCATGGATTTTTGACTGAGTTATGAACCTTTGAAAATTAGTTATTTTCCCCAAAAATAAATCGCACCATTTTTGCAAAAATATGTAAGGGGTACCATCATTAAAATTCTAAAAAATTGAGAAAAAATGAAATTGAAAAGAACCCTAAACGTAGTATGCAGTTTTGTTAGGCTTAGAAAAGGCAACTCAGAACAGCTTTCCGAATTGAATTTCATGCACTTTTGGCTGAGTTATGAACCTGAAATTAGTTTTGTTTCTGAAAAATTATCAAAATAAATCGCACCCTTTTTTTAAATTTAATTGCAGCAAGTTGCCAGGAACTGAAAGCGGGTGCCGAAGGCGAGACAGAGAGCGTTGGCAAGGAGGATCAGGACGACGAGGAGCAGAAGTGGACCAAGTGCCACCAAGACCGAGTCGAAACCACTGGGAACGACCTCCGACATTCCTACATGCCTCACCTTTTCTTCTTTTATTTATTTAAAGCCGAAATAAATAATAAACCTTACAAAATGTGTTATTTTTGAGTTATGAGAGGAGGATGCGGTTTTTTTTTGGTTGGAATATTTTAAACAGGCTCAATGGAAGGGCATTCTTGCGGTGGAAAATGAAAGAAACATCAAAGCAAAATAGCTAGATGAGCTAACTGACAGTTAGTAAGATGCCATTTTGTCCCAATAATGCAAAATAGCTAGATGAGCTAACTGACAGTTAGTAAGATGCCATTTTGTCCCAATAATGCAAAATAGCTAGATGAGCATCACTGGCAGTTAGTGAGATGCCATTTTGTCCCAATAATGCAAAATAGCTAGATGAGCATCACTGGCAGTTCGTGAGATGCCATTTTGTCCCAATAATGCAAAATAGCTAGATGAGCATCACTGGCAGTTCGTGAGATGCCATTTTGTCCCAATAATGCAAAATAGCTAGATGAGCATCACTGGCAGTTCGTGAGATGCCATTTTGTCCCAATAATGCAAAATAGCTAGATGAGCATCACTGGCAGTTAGTGAGATGCCATTTTGTCCCAATAATGCAAAATAGCTAGATGAGCATCACTGGCAGTTAGTGAGATGCCATTTTGTCCCAATAATGCAAAATAGCTAAATGAGCATCACTGGCAGTTCTTGAGATGCCATTTTGTCCCAATAATGCAAAATAGCTAGATGAGCATCACTGGCAGTTAGTGAGATGCCATTTTGTTCCAATAATGCAAAATAGCTAGATGAGCATCACTGGCAGTTCGTGAGATTCTATTTTGTCCCAATAATGCAAAATAGCTAGATGAGCATCACTGGCAGTTAGTGAGATGCCATTTTGTCCCAATAATGCAAAATAGCTAGATGAGCATCACTGGCAGTTCGTGAGATGCCATTTTGTCCCAATAATGCAAAATAGCTAGATGAGCATCACTGGCAGTTCGTGAGATGCCATTTTGTCCCAATAATGCAAAATAGCTAGATGAGCATCACTGGCAGTTAGTGAGATGCCATTTTGTCCCAATAATGCAAAATAGCTAGATGAGCATCACTGGCAGTTAGTGAGATTCCATTTTGTCCCAATAATGCAAAATAGCTAGATGAGCATCACTGGCAGTTAGAGAGATGCATTTTGTCCCAATAGAGCATCACTGATGCAGATGAGCATCACTGATGCAGATGAGCATCACTGATGCAAGTGAGCAAAACTTTTCATTCAAATTGGCCGCTTTCCAAACTGGGGTAACAGGCGAAAAGAAACCAGCAGCAAGCAACTGAAAACTGGTATAAACTGTTATAAAAACATTTGGGCAAAAATAATAATTGGTATAAACTGTTATATTTCATTTTATACATTTATACCTATTTGTTGCCGACAACAATAGTTTATGGCAACAACAACCTTTTTACAACAACATCCCTACAGCAGCCCATCCAAATTTCCGAACATTTCAAAGCAAATTGCCCGTTTCCCAAATTGGGGTAACAGGCGAACAGAAGTCAGCAGCAAGCAACTGAAAACTGGTATAAACTGTTATAAAAAGTCCAAGTTTCGAACCATTGATCTTGGAGTAAGCGAAGACTTAAACCAGATGTGACCATATTGTAGATTTTTTGGCTAAAATGTTGCTTAAATGCACCTGGTCACACTGAAACGGAGTCCAAGTTTCAAACCATTTAGGAGCCGGCGCAAGTTAGCGGAGACTCAAACCTTTTGAATCCAAATTTAGGGGTTATTTTACAACTGCACCTGGGCACACTGAAAGCAAAGACTCACACCAGATGTGACCATATTGTAAATTTTTTGGCTTAAATGTTGCTTAAATGCACCTGGGCACACTGAAACTGATCGTCGTTAAATTCAAATTCAAATTTGGCAGTTAAATTCAAATTCAAATTTGGCAGTTAAATTCAAATTCAAATTTGGCAGTTAAATTATTTTTAAAAAATTTGTTTAATTCTAAAAAAATTCTTAAATACATATAAAAAATCTAAAAAATGTTTAAAATTCAGAAAACAAATTTAAAAATTTAGATTTTGCTTTCAAAATAATTAGATTTTTCCCCAAAGGATCCCAAATAAATGCCGCCTTCACAAAAAGTGCACATTGATTTCACCATCTTTTATTGATTCATATTTGTGTGTTCCATCAATTATATTTACATATTTAAATTGCATTTATAAATATTTTATTTATTTACGCCTGCTGCAGGGTTTTAACTAGCCCGGAGCCAAGATCCGATCACCGTCCTCCACTGCCATCGGGTTGAGATCTGTCATCCCAGCTGCTCGCTCCTTCCAGCTTTTTAATATAAAAAATCCGATTTTATAATACAAAATAATATTTTTCTAGGTCAAGGAATCATTTCCAACCCCATAAACCATATATATTCTTGATCAGCATCAACAGGGAATCTTTCTGGACATGTCCGGAAGAAATCGATTTTTTGGCCATTTTTGGGAAATTTGATAAGGGGTTACATCATTAAAATTAGCAAAATGACCGAAAATTTTGATTTCTTAAAATTTGAAATTTGGTATGCAGTTTTTTTAAATTAATAACTAATAATAACTAACACAAAACTGCTTTCCGAATCGAAATTAATGGATTTTTCGATTAGTTATGATATATTTTAATTGTTACCTGCAAGGGTATACAAACTTTGGCTGGCCAAAGTTAGCTTTCTTTCTTGTTTTAAAATGTAATCCTCTGATCCAATTTCAAACTGCAATTTAACTTTCCCAAGTCATCTTGTTTTCGTGTTTATTTTGTAAAAATAAAATAGGTAGATTCAACTTATGCATATCAACACATTATTTTTTGTGGTTTGTGATGGCTCTTCTCATGGCTCGCCATAAGGCAGGTTGATATTGATTATGAGATCTTCCTTCAACTGATGATATCAACAGCAAAGGTTTTCGATTTTCATCAGCTAGACGCACAAATTGAGCTTCCTCCGGTTTCGAGCACAGGCGAGGATAAAAGAAACAAAGCGATGTCACAGACTGAGGTTTTGATGTGATCAATAACTGTTGCTCTGGCTTGAAAACCGTGCCTGATTCAGTGATTTCAGAAAATTCCGGTTTTTTTGATACCGTTTCCTTAAAATGTGCAGCTTTTGCTGTTTGACAAATTGGAAGTTGCGGATACTGTAAGCAAAGAGAATTTTCTGTCGTTGTAGAATCTGTCGATGTTGTTGAATCCGTAGTCGAGGAAGATGATGTTGCTTCAGTAGTCGTAGAAGTAGGAAGCGCTGTCGATGTTGTTGAATCCGTAGTCGAGGAAGCTGATATTGCTTCAGTAGTCGAAGAAGTAGGAAGCGCTGTCGATGTTGTTGAATCCGTAGTCGAGGAAGATGATGTTGATTCAGTAGTCGTAGAAGTAGGAAGCGCTGTCGATGTTGTTGAATCCGTAGTCGAGGAAGATGATATTGCTTCAGTAGTCGTAGAAGTAGGAAGCGCTGTCGATGTTGTTGAATCCGTAGTCGAGGAAGATGATGTTGCTTCAGTAGTCGTAGAAGTAGGAAGCGCTGTCGATGTTGTTAAATCCGTAGTCGAGGAAGATGATATTGCTTCAGTAGTCGTAGAAGTAGGAAGCGCTGTCGATGTTGTTGAATCCGTAGTCGAGGAAGATGATGTTGATTCAGTAGTCGTAGAAGTAGGAAGCGCTGTCGATGTTGTTGAATCCGTAGTCGAGGAAGATGATATTGCTTCAGTAGTCGTAGAAGTAGGAAGCGCTGTCGATGTTGTTGAATCCGTAGTCGAGGAAGATGATGTTGCTTCAGTAGTCGTAGAAGTAGGAAGCGCTGTCGATGTTGTTGAATCCGTAGTCGAAGACGATGATGTCGATTCAGTAGTCGTAGAAGTAGGAAGCGCTGTCGATGTTGTTAAATCCGTAGTCGAGGAAGATGATGTTGCTTCAGTAGTCGTAGAAGTAGGAAGCGCTGTCGATGTTGTTGAATCCGTAGTCGAGGAAGATGATGTTGCTTCAGCAGTCGTAGAAGTAGGAAGCGCTGTCGATGTTGTTGAATCCGTAGTCGAGGAAGATGATGTTGCTTCAGTAGTCGTAGAAGTCGGAGGCGCTGTCGATGTTGTTGAATCCGTAGTCGAGGAAGATGATGTTGCTTCAGTAGTCGTATAAGTAGGAAGCGCTGTCGATGTTGTTGAATCCGTAGTCGAGGAAGATGATGTTGCTTCAGTAGTCGTAGAAGTAGGAAGCGCTGTCGATGTTGTTGAATCCGTAGTCGAGGAAGATGATGTTGCTTCAGTAGTCGTAGAAGTAGGAAGCGCTGTCGATGTTGTTAAATCCGTAGTCGAGGAAGCTGATATTGCTTCAGTAGCCGAAGAAGTAGGAAGCGCTGTCGATGTTGTTGAATCCGTAGTCGAGGAAGATGATGTTGATTCAGTAGTCGTAGAAGTTGGAAGCGCTGTCGATGTTGTTGAATCCGTAGTCGAGGAAGATGATGTTGATTCAGTAGTCGTAGAAGTAGGAAGCGCTGTCGATGTTGTTGAATCCGTAGTCGAGGAAGATGATATTGCTTCAGTAGTCGTAGAAGTAGGAAGCGCTGTCGATGTTGTTGAATCCGTAGTCGAGGAAGATGATGTTGCTTCAGTAGTCGTAGAAGTAGGAAGCGCTGTCGATGTTGTTAAATCCGTAGTCGAGGAAGATGATATTGCTTCAGTAGTCGTAGAAGTAGGAAGCGCTGTCGATGTTGTTGAATCCGTAGTCGAGGAAGATGATGTTGCTTCAGTAGTCGTAGAAGTAGGAAGCGCTGTCGATGTTGTTGAATCCGTAGTCGAGGAAGATGATGTTGATTCAGAAGTCGTAGAAGTAGGAAGCGCTGTCGATGTTGTTGAATCCGTAGTCGAGGAAGATGATATTGCTTCAGTAGTCGTAGAAGTTGGAAGCGCTGTCGATGTTGTTGAATCCGTAGTCGAGGAAGATGATGTTGCTTCAGTAGTCGTAGAAGTAGGAAGCGCTGTCGATGTTGTTGAATCCGTAGTCGAGGAAGATGATGTTGCTTCAGTAGTCGTATAAGTAGGAAGCGCTGTCGATGTTGTTGAATCCGTAGTCGAGGAAGATGATATTGCTTCAGTAGTCGTAGAAGTAGGAAGCGCTGTCGATGTTGTTGAATCCGTAGTCGAGGAAGATGATGTTGCTTCAGTAGTCGTAGAAGTAGGAAGCGCTGTCGATGTTGTTGAATCCGTAGTCGAGGAAGATGATGTTGCTTCAGTAGTCGTAGAAGTAGGAAGCGCTGTCGATGTTGTTAAATCCGTAGTCGAGGAAGCTGATATTGCTTCAGTAGTCGAAGAAGTAGGAAGCGCTGTCGATGTTGTTGAATCCGTAGTCGAGGAAGATGATGTTGCTTCAGCAGTCGTAGAAGTTGGAAGCGCTGTCGATGTTGTTGAATCCGTAGTCGAGGAAGATGATGTTGATTCAGTAGTCGTAGAAGTAGGAAGCGCTGTCGATGTTGTTGAATCCGTAGTCGAGGAAGATGATATTGCTTCAGTAGTCGTAGAAGTAGGAAGCGCTGTCGATGTTGTTGAATCCGTAGTCGAGGAAGATGATGTTGCTTCAGTAGTCGTAGAAGTAGGAAGCGCTGTCGATGTTGTTAAATCCGTAGTCGAGGAAGATGATATTGCTTCAGTAGTCGTAGAAGTAGGAAGCGCTGTCGATGTTGTTGAATCCGTAGTCGAGGAAGATGATGTTGCTTCAGTAGTCGTAGAAGTAGGAAGCGCTGTCGATGTTGTTGAATCCGTAGTCGAGGAAGATGATGTTGATTCAGAAGTCGTAGAAGTAGGAAGCGCTGTCGATGTTGTTGAATCCGTAGTCGAGGAAGATGATGTTGCTTCAGTAGTCGTAGAAGTAGGAAGCGCTGTCGATGTTGTTGAATCCGTAGTCGAGGAAGATGATGTTGCTTCAGTAGTCGTAGAAGTAGGAAGCGCTGTCGATGTTGTTGAATCCGTAGTCGAGGAAGATGATATTGCTTCAGTAGTCGTAGAAGTTGGAAGCGCTGTCGATGTTGTTGAATCCGTAGTCGAGGAAGATGATGTTGCTTCAGTAGTCGTAGAAGTAGGAAGCGCTGTCGATGTTGTTGAATCCGTAGTCGAGGAAGATGATGTTGCTTCAGTAGTCGTATAAGTAGGAAGCGCTGTCGATGTTGTTGAATCCGTAGTCGAGGAAGATGATATTGCTTCAGTAGTCGTAGAAGTAGGAAGCGCTGTCGATGTTGTTGAATCCGTAGTCGAGGAAGATGATGTTGCTTCAGTAGTCGTAGAAGTAGGAAGCGCTGTCGATGTTGTTGAATCCGTAGTCGAGGAAGATGATGTTGCTTCAGTAGTCGTAGAAGTAGGAAGCGCTGTCGATGTTGTTGAATCCGTAGTCGAGGAAGATGATGTTGCTTCAGTAGTCGTAGAAGTAGGAAGCGCTGTCGATGTTGTTGAATCCGTAGTCGAGGAAGATGATGTTGATTCAGTAGTCGTAGAAGTAGGAAGCGCTGTCGATGTTGTTGAATCCGTAGTCGAGGAAGATGATGTTGCTTCAGTAGTCGTAGAAGTAGGAAGCGCTGTCGATGTTGTTGAATCCGTAGTCGAGGAAGATGATATTGCTTCAGTAGTCGTAGAAGTAGGAAGCGCTGTCGATGTTGTTAAATCCGTAGTCGAGGAAGATGATGTTGCTTCAGTAGTCGTAGAAGTAGGAAGCGCTGTCGATGTTGTTGAATCCGTAGTCGAGGAAGATGATGTTGCTTCAGTAGTCGTAGAAGTAGGAAGCGCTGTCGATGTTGTTAAATCCGTAGTTGAGGAAGATGATACTGCTTCAGTGGTTGGAGAAGAAGTCGTTGTTGAGGAAGCTGCCGTCGTTGATGTGGAAATGGCTGTAGTTGTAGAAGTTATTGAAATCGCGCTCGGTGTAGTTGGATCCTCTGTTGTCGTTTGACAAACTGGCAGCTGAGGATACACTGTACAAATTGGATTTTCTGTAGATAATGTCGTTGGATCGTCTGTTGAAGTTGGCAGTGCAGTAGATGTAGTTGGAGTTCCAGTTGAACTCGGAATAGCAGTTGATGTTGTTGGGCTGCTAGTAGAGGTAGGTAAAGCTGTAGATGTTGTTGGGGAAACAGTTGTTGTAGATGCTGTTTCTGGCGGCTGTTGAAATTGGTTGGGATCATACTGTCCATAGAGTCCATATGGCCCATAAAGTCCATATGGTCCATAGATTCCATATGGGTCATAACCAGCTGAATTCTGGTATACATTTTCCCAATAGTTATTATAATAGTTATTTAAGTTGTTTAGATAGTCATTGTATTCATTTTCCTGCTGACTGCTAGTCTGTGGCCGCTGGTTATTGTTATTGCCCGGATTGATTTGAATGCCGGTAAGACGAGTAAACAAAGTAGAGGCATCCCAGACAGGTATTCTTATTTTCACTGATTGGCCCCTAGCTTGGCTAGCCAGAAAAATCCACAAGCTGATAGTGCTTAATTTCATTCCGAGCAGAGATTAGCCTGCGCCCAGGTTAGTCTAGAACTGAATTGGTAGCGGCTAGCCACCTGGAGTTTTATACATGCCAAAAAAGTCGTAAATTCAAAATGACACTCTACACAAACAATAGGCTGGGTAAATCTAATTTAATAAATTTGAAAGGCTTATAGATTTGGTAAGAAGGAATGAATTCAAGCTAGAGAATAGCTATCACAGATGATGCTAATTTGTTCTATACTAACCACTTAGCTTTGGCCATGCAATCGGCGCATGATTGGGGTGTGTCTACTGCTTCTGGGGACTTCTTTAAAACAAATTCTATTACACTAGACTACAAATTTTAGGTCGAATTTTGATTTAGATAAATATAATAGCTACACAGAAATTTATTTGTAATATAAATAATAAATATAAACTGCTTAAGATATACCGCTAATTGTAAAAGGTCATCAAAACTAATTGAAATAATTGATGTATCACTGTTAACTCCATTTATAAATTTAAAGATAACCAATAGATTGTGTTTTATTGCTTATTTGGCGAGATCAGTTTTACCCAAAAGTCGGACTCATTTTAGGAGCAAATCTAAAGTTTCCCAATGGATGTAAGTTAGTGTATTTGGTAAAAGAAAGTCCATCAGCAACTTGTATGTTTTTTCGTACTTTTATTGAATTAATCAATCGTCGTATGAGTTAAATTTCCTAGCGTCGTAAGCGAAATAAGGAGCTGGCTGAGGCCTGCGGTAGATGCCGCTGTATGGGATATACAAGGGCGAAGCCTGCGCCGAAGAGGATGCTATAGCTGTTCCACGAACGTAGATTGGGTTTGAACTGATTCGGTGCAGATCGTAGGGACTGATCGGGGAGTTGGGCACATAGTGGAAGGGAAGTGGCGTCGTGTGAGCCCGGCCTGGATTAACTGCATCCACAGTGGTGTCCGTATTCGGGGTGCCCACTGCATCCGAAGTCATCGTAGAAGGCGTCGTGGAAGTGGTCACAGGATTAACTGCATCCACAGTGGTGGGAGTTGAAGCCGTTGTTGACGGATTAACTGCATCCACAGTGGTGGGCGTGGAAGCCGTTGTTGACGGATTAACTGCATCCACAGTGGTGGGCGTGGAAGCCGTTGTTGATGGATTAACTGCATCTACAGTTGTGGGCGTGGAAGCCGTTGTTGATGGATTAACTGCATCTACAGTTGTGGGAGTAGAAACCGTAGTCGTAGAGGTGGTAGAGGTTCCAGGAATGGCGTTCGAAGTTGAAGTTCCATCATCGGGCGTCGTTGGAATCGCAGTTGATGTGGCTGGAGCTGGAGTAGTTGTTGGTGTTGTCGGTGCTAAGTTGGAATTGGGGCCATAAGGTCCATAGGGACCGTAAAGGTAATTCATGTACTGAACGTACTGCTGGTACTGCTGGTTCTGTTGGTACTGCTGATACTGCTGGTACTGGTTATAAGCCGCCTGAGCTTCGTAGTACTGCTGCAATTGGCTATAATATTCGTATAAGTCAGCCTCATCTTGGGCAGCATTGTTATTGTTACTGCTACTCGAAGAGCCAGGACGCGCTCCACCGCCTCCGGCGAGGGCCGAAATAAAGCCTGCCGGTGAGAGAGGAATAGTTATGGTCTGGCCACAGGCCTGGCCGGCCACCAGGAAAAGCAATCCCAGAGTCGTGATCAGCATTGCGATGCTCCGGTTAGTTCAGAACTAAGTGGCCAGTATAATATGCGAAGAGTTTTATATAGTCCGTCGGGTGTCATAAATTGAAAGCGACAAAAGACTGGACTGGAGCATGGGCCTCGAGCTACGGAATTGGGAATGTAGAAGATTCGAATTTGCGATTTGAATTTTTATTGCCTCACAGAGCTTAACAGAAAGCGACCACCGCATAACTTAGCAGTCTGATGACCTGTCATAATCAGAGTTCTACTTAACGGACCCCTATTACCAAACCTCGCTAATTTTCTAATCATTCTTGTGGTATAAATAAGGCAACTTTATTGATCTCCACTGATTGATGCTCGCTTAGCCAACTCTGTTGTAATATCCAATCGGTCTATAGGCGGGTCTATAATAAACATATCTCACTGGCTGTCTATAATAGACCACACTGCTAGGGCTTTGGGGACGAGCCACTGGGGGACGGGTTGTGGTCTGCTGAAGAACTTTATTCACCGGCTGCTCCGCCCCATCCAGATCGTACTTGATGCGCGATCCGTTTTTAAAGTCTATATAGTCGTAATCCTCGTCGTTTCCAGGAGCCTTCAAATCCTTTTCCACCGCTGGCTTTCGAGTTGTGGTGGTGGCCTGGGCGATAAAGTCTGCCAGCATGGCGGCTGAGGGTGAACTTGCTCCGCCACCAGGTTGCTGTAGACCCTGTAGGATTCCCTGCAGGAACTGCTCGCGTACCAAGTCGCTAGCTGGCTGGCTGTTCGTCGTCTCATCGGAGAGGGGCAGCTTCATGTTAGAGCTGGATTGCGATGTCTCGTCCAGGGGTCTTCGAACGGGTATTCCGGGCAATGGGGCACCAACCTGTGGCAGGCCCCCCGGATAGGATAGTAGGAGCAGCCATGGTATCGCGGTTCGCATCTGTTCCTGCTTGGAGTCCAGGGCAGCTGCACCCGACCGGAGACTGGTCACAGCCAGTAAACACAGTAGAAATCCGATTACTTTCATATCGAAACGCGTTTGGCCATCAACTAAGACTGCCCGGGCATTGGGTTTGCATATTTAGGAGATATCTGCACTCGGCGAGACATAAATGCTAATTTCGGTCCATTAATAAGTTGGCGATCAGAGAAATCGATCGCGTCTCTCTTTTCTTTCTCTTCGCGCTTTTGTTTACCCATTTAATTCGATTTAAATCTGTTTATAAGAGCTAAATCAGCTAATATGATAACGCGTCGGAAGCCGTCAGCTTTGGGAATGTTTTTCGCTTTGGCGAATGTGTCTTTCTCCAGCGAATCTGGTTTCGGTTGATGATGTTGCTACGGATACCTCTAGTTGAGATCAAAGCTAGTTTTTCATTAAAAACAATTTAATAATAATAAATGTGGATTTCTTTCAGGGTGTTTATGACTTTACTCAATTTATAGGTTTCATAAATATTTCTATTTCTTTCCCACGAACTGAACGTAGGACCCTGGCTGGTCCGCTTGATAGTAGTTATCATATGGGATATAGACTGGTGCTGGTGCTCCCACATTCGATCCAAGAACATAATTTGGAAGCGACTGGCTGATCAGATTACTGGCCACCAAGCGGAAGGGAAGAGGCGTTGTGTTAGCTCGTACTGCCGGAGCAACTGCCGTTGAGGTGGTGTCCGTATTCTGGGGAGCCACGGCAGTGGAGGTCGTTGGAGATGGTGTCGTTGTGGGCTGGGTTGCCACGGCTGTTGATGTGGTTTGTTCTCCAGTCGATGTGGGAATAGCTGTTGAGGTGGTGGGCGTTCCCGTAGAGGTTGGAATCGCAGTGGATGTTGTGTCTGTGTCGGGAGCTTTGGTGGTCGGCGGCGGTCCATGGGGTCCATGAGGTGGGTAGCCCCCAAAAGGTCTATAGGCCCAGTAGGCATAGTAAGCCGCCTGGGCTTGGTAGAACTGCTGCCAGTAATTCTTGTAATAAGCATTCAGATATGCATCATATTCCGACTGGCCCTTGTCCTTATGGTGACTGCTGCTTGAAGAGCCAGGACGGGAGCCAGAGCCACCGCCTCTGATGTGTATAGTGGCCAAGTTGGGAATACCAAAATGGGACAAGTCTCCCAAGGACTGACCCGTTAACAGAAGAAGTAGGCCCAAGGTCTTAATCAGCATGGCGAAAACTAACTTAGAACTGAAGAAGTGATGGCAGATCGCCGCAGTTATATACAACCTTTAGGCTGTAAAAAATAGTGTTCTGAATTTTAATTTCTCTGAAACATGAACTTTGGCCAAATCTCCGAGTTAAATATATATAGTCTTGGCTAATGAATAGCATAACTTAATAACTTAATGAGCTTTTGTAGGGCCTCAAGACATCTTGGGTTCTAGTATCCCCATTTGAATAACTTATCTATACTAGCCACTGATTGACATGGATTTAAAGTAGGCCTAGCCAGTGGATATTTTAAATAGGCTCCTAACTTGGGTGCGTAGAAATTTCGATCGGATGGATGCCACTGGTCGATTCGATGGTTTATTAAAATATATTCCAGGCTGTTAACCCAAAGAAAATGCCAAAAACCAAGGTTGGCTTCGTTATCAAATACCTGATCTCATGTGGTCAAAAGTTGTCTCGTTTGATGAATAAATATTTACATTTGAATACACCCTCGAGGGTATTATAATTTCAGTCAGAAGCTCGTAACGTAGTGGAGGAGTCATATCCGATCCTTTCAATCATATATATTCTTGATCAACATCAACATATTGATCACAAAGACAGTTCATATTAAAATAAGAAATATCAAAGACAACACAAATATTTAGTTAATCCAATAGGAAATTTTAATTTTTTCTTTCTCCATAGCTGCTAAATACACCACGCATTTCACAGATATCCACTCTAAGCCATCTATTTTAAGAAGGAAGAATTATAATTAAATTATGTAAAGTTCCCACAGACTTTTCCTAATCACTCACCTGCCACTCGTCCTCGAAGACGGGAAAGCTCAAACTCTGCATATTGGTTAAGTGAGCCTGGCTAGATCTGAGATTTCGTACCAGCATCCGTCGGGGCACATTCTGTCGAATGACCTGGACCCGCGTTCTAGGCACATCCGCTCGACTGCCAGCCACTGGGCGGTTGTAGTCAATCCTATCCTGCGCCAAGTTCCGGCGATTACCAAGATCCCTTCCTTGAGGAGTCAGAAAGTGGACATTGGAGCGACGGTCACCTCGTCTTGCGCCGAATCGAAATATCTTGAATATTTTTCGCAGTGAAACATCATCATCATCATTGTCATCGTCCTCATCGTCATGGCTATGCCTTCTCTTAGGACCGCTGTCGCCTCCCAATTGGATAACTTGAATACTGGAGGAGCCTTGGTCCGTTGTGATGTTCTGACGCTTCAAATAATCCCTGATTTCGTCCGGTAAGTTGGAGTTTCGATCTCTGTCATGATTGTGTCCATTGTCACTTCCCAATTGAATAACTCGAATGCCATCCGCGAGGTTGGAGTTTCGATCTCTGTCATGATTGTCTTCGTTGTCACCTCCCAACTGGATAACTCGAATGCCATCTGGGTACCTCTCCCTATGTTTGTGTTCTGGCTTGGGCTCTGAATCCTGAGACGATGTCAAGAAAAATATCTTTCCGCCACCAGGTAACTCAAAAGCCTGGTTGCCTTGTGCAGCTGTAAAGCTGGCTTGGAGGATCAAAACGAAGCCGAGGTAGGCGACTAACATGATTCTGGATTACTTGCTTAGTTCCCGAGTTCGAATTCAGACTACTTCTTGAATGACCAGCCGCTGGACTTTTTATACTGGGAGTATAGAGATTTATCTAAATTGTTATTAATGGTTCAGTTTTTAGGGTTTTTATGCGTATTAATTACATCTTCCTATAGGTTTCTAAACAAATGCTGGTTAGCTAAACAAAATAGTAGAGACAATTCTAGTCAAAGTTGTGTAACAAATAATTAATGGGATGTATAATATCTATCTGCTCAGTTCTAGGAAGATGCTGAATGTATAAATATAATGAGATTAAAGCAAATGATACTTCAATGGCTTTGTGTAAAACGTATGTCGCTTAAGATATATAATAAGCTTAAATACTGGAAGGTGTAATGATTTATAATTAGTTTAAATAATTAAGGCAGTATTTGTTCTAAAATTCAGCTAATGCCATAGGTTTCTTACAAATCCCATCATCACCTGGAAAGTGAATTCTTTTTGCCATCTGCCGAGCTGTTATAAAAAAGATTTTATCATTTGGACACTCCACATTGTGGATAAGCAGCCAGCTGGCTTTAAGCAATAAAAAAAACTCAAAAAACAACCAAAATGAACCGTTAGACCAGCAAGCTAATCGGTGACGCCGATCTAAGCGAATAAAACCGCGCGACTAGTAACTTCGCGGGGCGTGTTCTGAGCTGATTTTAATAGCCGAATAAATTAGCATGCTAACTTGGCGGACTAACTGCGGTGACTAGACATTTTCTCGGGAGATCTTTTGAAATGCCGGGCAAACTGGGTTAATGTTCAGTGGTTCAATGGTTCGTTACCGTTTTTGGCAATAACTTAGGGGGCGCGATCGCATTTCTTTTTGCGAATAGGACAAGTATAAATAGCGCAGGTGCTGCCATCTGTCAATCAGTTCGAAGCAAACACCTTTCATACCATGAGCACCAAGTTGGTTCTCTGCCTATGCCTGGCGCTCTGCGGAGCCCTGGCGATGGCCCGCCCCCAGGAGGAGACCCTCGGTCAGGAGTCGAGTGTGGAGAGCAGCCAGGAGTTGAACAGCGTTGAGAACGACGCGGAGACCGATCCCTCGACCTGGCGCAAGCTCTTCGGCAGCGATGGCAACCTGGTGGTGACCTTCCCGCAGTCCTCTAGCTCCACCAAGAAGCCCAAAACAACGACGACCACAAAGCCCTACCCGCACTATCCGCACTACCCGCCGCCACCACACGGCTATCCCAGCTACCCGAGCTATCCCTATCCTAGCTACCCCTATCCTCCGTACCCGTTTCCTCCTCCGGGTCATGGACACGGAGATCACGGCGGACATGGAGGCGGACATGGCGGTGGACATGGCGGCGGACATCATCCTCCCACGACGACCACTACTACTACTACTACAACCACCACGAAGAAGCCTCATCCCACTCCTCCCGGACACGGCCACCACACACCTCCCCCTCACTACCCTCATTTCCCGATCTACCCCCCCTACCCACCACCACAGTACTTCCCACCCTACTACCCACTGCCGCCGCCACCCCCACCACCACGACCACCACACCACAATGACTCTGACGAGTCCACCGAAGCGCCGATCAAGCTCTGCAAGAAGTTCTTCGGCCCATCCTGGTGCATCTCGCGGTAGATAGCCTGCCATCCATCTGACACTCATTAAAGGCTCAATATTTATTTATTTATAAAATCAATTTATTAAACAAATAAAAAATTGGCATACAAACACAAGGATTTAATTTTAATCTTAAGATTTATAATGTTCTATATACGTTTTATGGAATTTCTGAAACAATTTGGCATTGCAAGAGGAGTGTTTAGCAGTCTGTTCTATTCGTAAGTTATGAAGGCAAATATTTAAATATATATTTAGCCAAATGTAAAACATTTTCTGCCCAATCTGGAAGTTTAAAGTTTTTATTTTGAAATTTTTTATTTACTTTGTTGACACTTGAAAAAGACAGCTCGAACTTGTCAACCCAAGCTCTGAGATATATTCATTCAGTGTGGTCCCAGAAGACCTGTTCATATTGTTAAAAATTCTTCATAAATTCTCGATTTGCATTAGGCAGCGCCACAGGTGCCCTGGAGATTCGTCTCTAATTGACAGCGACAGCCTCATTAACATGATTGTCGGCCGCGGAATCGGTGTAACCAAATGTTTTGTTTGTCTCCCGTTTAACATTTCCAAAACGCTCGCGGCACACTTAACATATTCAAATTGTATTTGGTGGTTTGGGATGTGGCCATCGGGAGAGATGACTTCACCGCCAGCTGAGGTGGCCGAGCGGCGTGGAGCTCATTATAGAGATAAACTTCGATAAACAATGGCCGATGTCTGTCATCCGGGGGTCGGCTTATTTATCGGGATCTGGCCTGCACGCAGACTTTCTGGCGACACTAATTAAATGTCCGCCCGCCATTACTAAATCAAAACAATTCCCAAACAGGACAAACAACAGCTCCGAGATGCAGATACTCGCACAAAGGCCAGACGACCAGTTAACTATTTTCTATACAACTTAGCTCCGAGCTCCACGCGGCGGCTCGTGTTCCGAAAATCGTAAATTTCGGATGTTGTTAAAAAAGTTTTGGCAGCGGCATAAATCTGCGGCCAAGAGGGCAACAACAGCCACGGCGAAGTCGGTTCACTAACGAGCCAAAATCGTTGACTGGAAATCCTTGAGTACAGCAATAATGCCTATAAATATGCTGGAGGAATTGTCTGAGCCCCTTTGTTGGATTCAATTGAGTCAAAGGCAAAACTTTTCCGAAAACCATGCGAAGGTCAACAGCGCAATTTGTTTTCCTCGATGGGGATAGGGATGTGGTGATCCGATGGCTCAGATCTAGAGTGGAGCAGCCTTAGCTCAAGGTGGGCCGCAATTACCACTGTTTGCGATGCCTCCGAGCGATCCATCCATTCCGGGAATCGAGGGAATCGAAGATGGGTTATGAAGTGCCGCGAAGCCTGATTGTCCAAACAGAGAACACGTAATTACCCAGCATCGCTCTCAGGAGGGGGGCGCAATTACACGCAGATTACCACGTAATTTATGAAATATGCAGTAACGAATAAAGCGCTGTAAAGCACGTATACCCCGGACCCCATAAATATGCCAGCCGGCTTAGCCAGCTGCCCATAAACTATACATTTGCCCGGGCCATCCTACGGCGTCCATTCGCCGTTCAAATGTAAATAGGCCCCCTGCCAGCCTCTTGGCCAACTGGCAATTCCATCTTGACTTTGAGCCTGGCAACCGGCGGAAGTACTTGGAGCAGCGGAAATACAAATGAAGCTGGCCATATCAGTGGAACTTACTTAGCCAACATTTTTATGTCATTTCGCATTGTTAGGACAACTTTTCGGCCAGAGAAAGGAAAGCGTGGCCTGGCCCGCGTGCTTTATGCGCTTAGAGACAGTTATTAAAAATTTGATCTTCCTGGAAGCCCCCTCAGAACGTACTTAAATTGGATGCCTCCCAAAACGGTTAGGGAAAAAAAAGAGCGCCGTCGAAATGAAACAAATTCCCCTTGATTCGTTTGTGTAACGTTTTTGCTGCAACAAATTGCTCGTCAAATTTTGTACATTTCTGTATAGAAGTCGAGTGTGTGTGTGTATGTGTTTCAAATATAATTTGCACTCAACAAATAAATCGCCCGTCCCTCCTTCAGCCAGAACCCTCGTCTCTACTTGGCCATTGTTCGCGACAATAGACGTCTGCGTATGGCTTTTCACTTTAATTGTGTGAAATTATTTTGAAAAAGTGTTTCGCTTTTCATTTTGTTCTGCTCCCTCTTTATATATATATATACATTTTTTTTTTTTTTTGTTAACGATTCGTTTAGCACAAGGCCATATTTATTTGAATGGCAGCCTTTTAATGTCGATTTTTATTGTGCGCTTTATAGACACAAATTGCCTAGACAAATGAGACAGGGAAAAACAATTTATGGATACGCACACTACCCTGAAATATATACATATATATATTCGACGGCGGGAATATTAAATACATTACGTTTGATGGAAGAGCTCTTCGAGTCCTTAGCAAATATAATTTCATACTTATGAATTTCTTTTGCAATTGAGGTTTTAATTAAAAGAAGAATCGCAGATCTCTGTATAGGTAGGTGAACGTTAATTAACATTGATGACCCAGAGGCTCGCTTCCTGACCCCGTCATCCCGGCCAGACGGCATCGTTACCAAATTTTATGTGCTGGCCATCCTTGTGGCCCATTAGGTCTATTTTCCTTGGCCACATTTACGTCAGAAGTGATTGTAATGAGTTTTTGATATTCGCCCAATGGCTGGAACTCCCTTCAGGGCTGACCAGGCCACTCCAGGCGCTTCCTGTTCTTGTCAATTTGAAAATGGCCCCATTTCGGGCCGACTGTCGGAATGTCAGGCTCGGACACAGTTGGCTGTCAAACATAAAAAATGGCAACACAGAAAATATATGTACAGTCCTGCCAGTTGCTGTCGAAGTAATCAAAATGTGGCCAGAGAAATCAAAGCAGCCTAGGATAAATACTGAATTAAATATCAGCAGGATATATATTCAGGCAAATTTAAAGGGCCGTTGAATTCGGATCCCTGCGGGTTTTTCACTTCCTTGGCGCTAAGCGAGGAGTTTAGGGAACACCACGTTTGGGGTTTTGTTTTCGCCGAGGGCTCGCCAACAAAAACAAAAGTCGTCTAAGGCAAAGGCGCCAAAGCGAAAGACACACACACACTAATACGCAGCCAGGCGCTGCACACGCACACATAGACACCCTGAAGGACCTTGGTACCTCGCGGTTTTCCTGTCCTTTCGCTTTCACTTTCGCTGCCCCCTCCACTGGCGCTTCTTTTTTTTAATTTCTTTAAGAGCTAAGCAGAAATGGCGAAATAAGCATAATTTCAGGCGCCATAAAAACAAAGGCAGGAAAAAAATAAATTCACACAATTTGAAAAACGCAAACACTCAACACGCCAGCCAGGCTCTACAGACTACAGCTGCTTAGCTCCGCCGCTCCACATTCAGACCTAGCTCCCTTTCTGCACTGTGAGAAAGTAAAAGAGTTTTAAAGTGTGAAATAAAAGCTAATACTTTAAGCGTTCTTATAGATATTTAAACCAGATGATAGATCTTATTCCTTGATCCTTATGAAGTAAAATCTACAATTAATAACAATTTTCTCACAGTGCCCCTGCTGTTTCTGCAGCTGTTTAATGGCTTCCCCTCTCATAGTGTAGGTGCAAGTACGCGGGTGTGTGTGTGGCCAACATTCTTGGTTTTCCTCCTAGTGTTGGATGAGGATGAATTAAAAAAATGTTTACGACTCGACCGCTTGATTTTCAGCACATTGGTAAAAATAGCCGGGGCCAAGGAAAAGCTGGAAAACAAAAACACAGAGCGTGGAGGAGACCATAAACCGAAAGAATGTGCAGAAGCACACCTCCCCATTAGCAGCCGCTGCCCTTCATCCACACTCGCATTCCCATCCTCGTCCTTGTCCACCGAACCTGCTGTGGCCATTACACAGCTGAACCGAAACCAGACCAAACCGAAGCGAATGTGTAAGTGTTTGTGGTGACGGTTTTTGGGTTACGCTTAAATTTCACCCACAAAGTGGATAGCGGAGTGACCGAGGTGGAAATTTATTGAGTTGGCCAGGCATAGATCTCACTTTCGAGTCTGTAAACTTCAACGAAAGTAATACTTAAAAATATTTATTCAATTGATTTATTAAGTGTAAGGAGATATATATTCCTGATATAACCATTAACTGATATTCATAATTGAAAAAATACCACGCTCTCATTACCTTTTCCAAAGACCTCAAGCATTCTCTCCACAACAAGGACTCCCTCTTGAGTTCCCTCAGAATTTCTCTGTTTTATGGCCATCTTATAATTTGTAGAGACTCATCAGCGAAGGCAACTCAGAGTCAGCTTGTGGTAATTTTTATATCTCTCCAGCTTACTCCTCCCTTTTTTGATTCGTTGTATTTTTTGGTTGGCCCCAAAGTTTTAATTATTTCATCGGCGCTTGAGGGCGCCCCACCGAATGGTCAGCATGTGCGGTAAATGAGGCTAGAATTTCCAGCTAGGAAAACAATTCAATAATTGGCAATCGTACGGCAGGCAGTCGGAGAGATATAGAATGGAGAGGAGGCTCAGGATAAGCCCGAAAATTAATATTGAGTAACTTCGATGGCTGCCACGCGAACTCGATAAACAGGCTAATTAGTTTCTGCTCTTCGCCAATGAGATTGTAATTAGCGGTCAGCTGAACTACGGCCCGACTGGGCTCGGACTCGTTACCGGAATGAATAAATTGTTGCAGTGCCGCCAACGGCAGCATTCTGAGGTAAGTACGCTTAACGAAAGTACCCGCAACCAATTAACGGTCACACAACCCCAGCGAATGGCCAAAGCGTGTTGCAATTGCAGTTTAATTGAGCGCACGGCCGTCGGTATAGTCGGTTGAGGGAGGGTCCTTTGGCAGGGACATACAAAATTCGTCTCGATAAATTTCAGGACACCACCCCTGGCATTTGACAAATTATTAGCGGGTTTTTGCGTGGACGGGCGAGCGTGCGGCTTTGGCTTAAATTTATGCGCCAGCCCGCCTTACAGGTAACT